GCGGTACGCCATAGCATCCGAGGCCTCCGTGATTCCTTGTGACTGCACCGCTGACTTCCTTCGGCCACGGTGTTATATTCCTATACTCCTATAGTATATTTTTTAGCTATTCTTTTTCTATAATAGGTTTTGTTTTTCTTTCTTTCTAGAGGGCTTGATTCGCTTCGAATATTTTTTATATAATATTAGCGATAATTCGTTTTCCTTGTTTATATCGTATACCCGGTTATAAGGCCTTCTCGGTTAATATTATAGTCTTTACCTACTTCGACTCGCTTATATTCTTCTATAAGATTTCTCTAGAGGCTAAGTCGTCGCGAATATTCGCTTTATTCTAGTTAAATAGTAATTATCGCGTTATCGTATCTATCCACGCTAACTAGCTATTACGCTAATCGACTACCAGATTACTTCTCTATAACTATAGGTGACCTAGTATTATATCGTAATTATATAAGTCTATAATATCAAAGACGATTATCTTATAGTATCCTTATATCGAGGCCTTAAGATAATCGGTCTTACAGTCGATAGTCCTATTATTATAATCGAAACTTCCTCCTTTAGTATTATAAAGCTTATATATTACTTTCTTATGATTCTATAGTAATATATATTAGTTAATTACTACTAATAAGATATAGTTTCCTATCGATCTACTATCTAATAGTACTCGTAATCGATATCCGTTAATCTAGACTTCTAAAACCGTTTTCTACCTTCCGCCTATCTCCACGGAGTAGAGGGTCTTTAGGTTTCTTTTGTTATCCTATGCCCTTTTTATAGGCGACGCTAGTAGTTTTTTAATAAGTAGTATTCTATATCGATATTATTATCCTTAGAGTTATAGTCGCTATACGACTCTGCTAGTATAGAGGGGTCCTTATTTTCCTCTTTATACGGGTAGTATACGTACCTATAGTAATAGACTCCGTAGTCTAGCGTATATCCTTCGTAGTATCTATATACTATATATTACGTATATACTTTTCCGTTCGGAACTTAGTATTCCCTTGCCTTTATTTTATAGCGTAGGCGTAGTATTTCCTTAGCCTTTTTATATTATTTACGGTTTATTTCGCTTTTAAAGATATAGTTCCGGTCTAATTCCTCGATTAGATCGTATAATAGTCGTATACCTTCGGGGTATTTATCGTATCCCTTGTATATATAACCGTACTTTAGTGCGTACTCCCTTTATACTAGGAATTCTTTTATAAGATTTCCCTCTCTTTAGTATCTTACCTTTGTTATAATAGCTTCCTTTTTAGTAAGCTTAAGGCCGAGTAATACCTTTACCGTATTCTTATATCGTTAGAGTTCTTCTATTTCTTTTTATTCTCTAGTTCGATACTAGTCGAATACCTTTTCCTTAATATACTTAGGGTAATCTATTAATAGGCACTTACTCTATATCTTCTAGTTTCGTGCGTATACTTCGGGGTATTTAGCCGATTGCCTTAGTACTATATACCCTATACTAGGTTCTATATATATATATTCGTAGAATTCGGCTTTATCTTTTTCGTAAGGGTTATCGATAGCTCGAATATCTATCCCTTTTATCGGGTAGACTTAATATCTCCTTTTCTCGGTTATATAGATTTTATAGAAATAATATATATATAAGATCTATAATAATTCATAATATTTTTCCGCGTTAGGATTTATCCTTAGGTTATCTCCTAATAATATCTTTCGATCCTATTCCGGACTATTTTCTCTAAGTATCGTTTATACGTAAATAACTATCTAGAGGTCCTCTCCTCGGGGCAGGGGATCGTACCGGTCGTTAGCGGCGAAGAGCTAGTCTTACGATATAGCTCTCCCGTATAAGAGATTTATTTCGAGTATCCTCTTTTCCTATAAGATTTCTTCTTCGCTATCTATAAAGTCGGTATCTAACGACTTTTCGTTTAATTCTTAAGTTCGTCGCTATTATTCGACGAGCTGCTTTATTTATTATTCTTTAGTATCGCTATTAAGCTCGTCTAGCTTATCCGGCGATTCGTCTATAATGTCTAGGTGTCTTACTAGTCCTATAATAACCTTATATATTATAGCTAAAACGCGAGGTCGATATAATATCTTAGGGAACTATCCTAAGTTTTTTTTACCGCTTCGGTGAATCTAATAGCTATCGTCGTAGCAGGCTATCTAATAGAGTTCCTTATATATTGGTGTCTTAGTTAGTTTTCGTTAGATAGCGGAAAGGTAGTCTTTATATTCTTACTCCCTATCCTTAATAATATCGTATCGTTCGTTTATTATAATTTCGTATCCGGCCCTAGTTATATTTAGCTACTTCGCCTTACCTTTAAGTATTAGCTTCTAGTCCTACTTTCGTTCCTTCTTTAAGGAACGGTATTCGCGCGTAAAATATCCTTTCTTACTATAATTATAATAAGTAAGGTTCTTTTTCTCGATTACCGCGAGTTTTCGTTATATAGCGTCTAAGTCTATAGGTCCCGCGTAAGTTCTTCCGTAAGCTATGCTTAGGTAGAACCAGGGTCTTCCTATATTAGGATAGATCTTGTTTTTATTACTACGATCGCGGTTCAAGGAGTTAGTAAAGTACTATCCCCTTTTATACTATCGCCTCTCGAATTATCGGTTATCGATCTTAACTACTATTATAATATATATAGCGAGGGCGGTAGGTCGGTCTTCTTTATAGAGTTCGTCCTTAACCTCGTCCTTAAGGCCCCTATAATAGGCTGCTATTTTATCTCCCTCGCTCTTTATAGTCCTAGATATAATTTAGATAAATAGAGCGCTATAGTCCGAAGCTGATCTTTTCTACTTTAACGCCTCTAGCTAGTTCTCGGCTAGGCGTTCTTTATTAATAGTCCCGAAAGTCGCTTTTAATACTTCTTTAAAGTTATAGTAATATACGAAGATATCTTTTATATCTTATTTTTAGTGCTAATAAACGTAGGTTATGAAATCCCGAAGCGTTAGTTCGAACCAAGCTAAGGCGGCTCCTGATAGATATCCCGCTATATAGCGTACTTTATCTTCCTCTATCCGTAGGATAGAAAGAAAGTATTATTAATAGGCTCTAACTTAAGTTAGGAACCCTTAAAGGTCCTTAGTTATACTATCGAATAGTCCTAGTTAGCGTGGCTTTATAATCTCTCTTAGGTCCTTACCGGTAGCTTACTAAATAATATTATTACTCACGCTATTTATTTTATTTCTTAGCTACGTATTCTACTCTCGTTATAAGGTTATCCCTTCGTTAAAGTCGCGGTATACTATATCGTACTATTCCTTATCGCGAGTCTATATATCGGTAACTTATTATAGCTATCCCCTAAGTTCCTAGATTTATCCCCTAAGGATATTTACCTCGTCCTCGGACTTATCCGAGTTTATACCGATATCTTCTTCCGGCGGGGGTTAGATAGGTTCGGCGTGCTTACCCTTAGTCTTAGAAGATTCGCTAGCTATAGTATCGTATTACTTAAGTACTTAACATAGTAGTATACTAAACAAGAGCTATTAATATATAACGTTCGGGTCTAGACTAGCAACCGGGTAGATAGAATAGAAGTCGGGTTATAAACTAAGTATACTAAAGATATCGTTAACTTAAGCGGTCGGGTTATAGTCTCTATGCGAGATAGTAGGTCTTGCGTAGATAATTATATTAATAGCTAGGGAGAGCTAGTAGAGACTGACTATAGTAAAGCTAGGCTTCCTATATACTAGGGTGATTATTATTCCTAGTAATGATCTATCTGCTTATTCGTAGCGATTCGTGGTGATCGTAATAATCGCGGGCGCGATCACTTGTGTAAGTGATAATCGTACTATAAGTGGTAGGAAAAAGTAGGGCGTGCCTGGAAGCACATGAAGGCCGTATATTGGGTCGTAACACCTAGCCGTAAGCTCGTAGAGAAATACGTGGGACTATACTAGATTCAGGAAGTAATTAGCGACTATGGCCTTATATATAGGATCAGGCTACTATCGGCGGTTAAAGTCTATAACGTGTTTAATATATTATTACTAGAACCCTATTATAGTAGCGAACTCGCACCGATAGAGCCGAGTGATCACCCTTTTTTCGAAGATCTAATATAGGAAGTGGAACGTATTATGGGCCACCGGTATAACGGCCGACGAAGGTTATATCTTATAAAATAGAAGGATTACCCTAATAGCGAAAATACTTATTAAAAGAAGTTAGATTTCATAGACTTCGCCTATATCGAGGATTATAAGTAGTACCTACGCGGCGATATCGTAGTAAGTTCATAGGGAGAGAGAAGGGAGCTAGGGTGAATATAGAAGTAAAAGGGGGTGAAAGGCGCTAAACAGGCACCGAGGGAATTAATTATAGCAAAATTAACGACGCTACGCTACGCTACGAAGGCGCGGCGAGGTCGTAGCGTAAGGGCATAGACGGACGGACAGACACTACCACTATTAATCCTCCTTAGACTCGTCCTCCTCGGTTATCTCCTCGTCCGATAGAGGCGGGAGCGGCACGAACTACCGGCGAGTTAGCGGCGAGTATAAAGCAAGGATAAAGGGAAAAGTAAGACTCACGTCCTCGGCGCAGAGACGCCGGGCGATCCACTCCGATAGCGCTAGTTGCCGGGTGGCCAGCTTGTTAGCACGGCGAATACGCCGCGATAATGAAGCTACCTCCCGCGAGGTAGCGGCGCGCGAGCCGCGAATACTAGCAGCGGCGGCGGCTAGGGTAGTCTTAGCTTTCTTAGCCCTCTCTTTCGCAGCGGCCCGGAGCTTTTTAAGCTCTAGGGCCGTGGTCCTGTCGGTCTAGTTACGAGTTAGTATATACCTTATAGCGATATAGAGGCGACTCACGGGTCGGCGTATAGCTTTGCCGCTAGGGAGTATATCCGAGTGCCTCTAGTGGGCTCGCAGGCCCGGCCGTTATTAGTATACTTCTAGCACTTGGTGCTAGCGACTTAGATAAAGTTAGTACGCGGCGAGCTCGGTGCGATCACGCTACTTCTTACCCTCGCTATCGCTACGATAGTCTACCTCCCCGGGGGTAGTGGACTTACGGTGGCCTAGATAGATATTAATAAGGTGCCCGAGGCACCTATCGCAAGGGGCGTCGCGACTATATAACGAATTAGTTACGAACTCGCTAGTAAACAGCCGAACTTACTCGACGAGCTCGCCTTTAGGGGTCTTAGCCTTACCCTTAGCCTTATCTTCCTTCTACTAGGCAAATTAGTAACGACTTCGGTGCGACTAAGCGAAGAACTTACGGCGGCCTCGGCCTCGGCGGCGGTAGTAATCTACGCCTTTAGCCTCTATAAGATAGTTAGCTAAAGACCCGAAGATATAGATAGGGGAACTCACGGCGGCGGCGGCGGCGTCGTCGGCCCTTTTTTTCTATAGTAAGTAAGCTAAACTCGCTAAGCGTACGCTACGCGAACGTCGGTAACTCACGGCGGCGACGGCGGCGAACTTCTCCTTCTTCTCCTTCTTCTTCTAGGAAAGGATTAAATACCTCGTAGTAAGTACGCAGCGCATAGATTAAGAGCTTATAGCGGCGGCCTCCTTCTTAGCCTCGGCGGCCTTAGCCTTAACGTCGGTATCGATAATTAGCTACGCAAAAGGGGTTAGCGGCGAGACCGCAACGCGAACGTATAGAACGCGCAGAAAGAGACTCACGGTGGTGCCCTCGGCGGCGTCCTTAGCGTAGGGAGAGTCGGTTATCTGAGATTTCGTGTCAGAGAGTGCGAGCACGTAACGCCCTCGCTACGCGAGAACGTTAGAGTCTTAGACTCACGTTATTATTATTGCTGCTATTAGCAGCGGCGGGGGCGTAGGTGCGTAGATAGTGTATCTACTACCACCGTATTAGCGCTGCGAGCGCGCGGCATACGCGATACGCGCTATAGGGTGGGGGTAATACTTACGTATTGCTATTATTACTGTAGCAGCGGCGGTAGTACAGGGAATATCAAACTATTGCGTATTAGCGGCGAATTCGTAGTAACGAGGCATTAGGCTACGTACTTATTCGAAAAGGTGAAGAAGAAGAAAAGAAGAAGAACAAGATTAGCGGTATAACGAAGATTTAATAATATTAGCGGATTAATCTACCGGGCGGTTAGAACGCTATAATAAGATAGGTTAAAGGAAAGTTAATTATACGGTTAAAGTCGATTAAAGATTAGACGAAACCACCGAATACTAGCCTCGCGGTATGGACCTAGTATAGTCGCTACGAATACGCTACGTATGCGTGGATGCCGAGGACGGTATACGTAGAGAGGGGCGTTCTATTAGACATATATTGCATACAAAGGTTACTACAGGCATTAGGGGTGGCTGAAGCCACTGGCCCTGTGGCTAGGAGTGGCTTAGGAAGCCCTAATTAAGTCACGTGCATAGGGGCGCACTAAGCGAAGAACCTTCGTAGCCGAGGAATGCCTCTAGGAGGATCAAGAGATTAATACAGTCACTAAGGACCCCGTACTCGTAGCGATCTAGTTGCGCCCTCTCGACATTGTGCACCTTCTCACTCTCTTTATTAAACCCAGTTCTGACAGTCAGCCAGGACACTACACTTATCGATAATATACGGCACAACGAGATCGACCCTAAGAAGAATATCTCGGGATCCTGCGGAGCTGCCTAAGATACAAACACCCCTGAACGACCATAGGTACCGCACATCCCTCCCTATCCAGGGTCTCGTAGGGAATTTAGGCTCTCGAGGTTCGAGAGAGTATGCGAAACCGAGCTATTATCTGCATAGAAGGACTTACCTCCTAATGACTAATCATTAGCCCTAGCAAAAGGACCGGTCAAGACCGAGAGTCAGGTCGGGATTAACAAACTAGAAGTTTCGGATCTAGAGCTCGGTGAATATTTCGTGCAAAGCCTTAAGGTTATTAACGATCTAGACACTAGTATTTCAACGACTTCTACTCGGCGTGATAGTTTTCGTTTTAAGCCGTTAAAGACTATAAAGTAGGCTTTAGATCTTATCTATAATATAGTAAAGTAAGCTATATATTAAAAAGCAGGCTGTATTTACTATTATAGCGACGAATTCACGCCTGGTCACGTTAACATAGGATCTATACAACTCAATTAAGCCGGCGAGAATAAGTACTTTAAGCCAGCTTAACTCGTCACGCCGGAAAATAATCGATACCTTTAAAGACGTCTAAAGCAGTAGATTACTATAGGCTAAGCCCTATTAGAACAACTTGGTAGCTCAGATTAAGTCTATCTAACGATAAGGTAAGAAAAGAGAAAGAGGAGGGAATTTACGGTCCCCCTTCCCTATAAAGACCCTACGAGGTCTATGCGTCCTCGTAGGCACGCGTCACGTGCCTGGGTGAACTAGGCCGGGTCTTATACCTAGCCGCTAGTAACTAGTAGAACCGTAATATTACCCCCCTACTAACTCTAGGCTAGCCTATAGTAGCCCGTCGGGATAGTAGCGGGGTGCCTTACCGCTAGGAGTATATCGTAAGTTTTCGTATACAATAATTCGCACTCCGGGTAGATTAGCGGTTTCTTGTAATACCCCGCGCGGTATAGCTATATCCTATATATATACCCGTTAGCCTCGCGAAATAAGGCTAAGGTAAAGGTAATATAAGCTAACCTTAGATAAATCTAAGGGCGGCTATAATAATATCGGCTATAGCCTTCTTTATTTATTATTTTTTCTCTTTTTTAGCCTTATTTCTCGATACTAATATATATTTTTAATAGCCCGCGGTAGCCCCGCGATACCTCTACGACCTCCTTATTAACCCTATACGTAGCGCGCTTTAGTTAATTAGCCCGCCGGCCCCCGTAAATTAATCCTACGCGCGCGTAGTCTTTATATACCGCCTAAGGCTACTCTAAGAGCCTTATTAATATCGTAGATTAATTAAATCTTTATCGCTACTACCGCCGCCGCCTCTCCTGCCTTTAGTAAGGACTTCGATACTAAAGCTATAACGTATAGCTAATATATATATATAGTAGCTATTAGTAAGAAAAGCACCGCCTAGGGCCCTCGTAGCTCTAAGCGTAATTATCGCGTATATTATATAACCCTAGGGTATAAGTTCCTAGCGAGGATAGTATTAACGCGTAATAGTAGTCTTTATTATCTCCCCCCTTTTCTATACCGCCGCTAGGTAAGAAGTAGGCGCCCCCCGGCCGTTACCGTAAGCTCCTATATATATAAGTATAAGGAAGATATAGGAACTTTACTTATACGCTCTAGATACTCTCGCTACCTCCGTGCCCTTATAGCTAACCCCTCCGCCGCGCCCTACTATAATATTAAAAGTAAGTCTTCTTACGACCTCCGTGTAGTTAGTTTACTAACTCGAGTAGACTCTAGTAATAAAAAGTACTATTATTATACTAATATTAAGTATGAGTATATCTCCGTGAGTTTATTTATTTCTAAAGATTATAAACGCTAGTCCCTTAACGTGGTCCACCCCTAAGCGACGTATACCCCTAACCGACGCACTTTTCCACACGTCGTATATTTCTATCTTATATATAGTATTCCTCTATAACTAATAATAGCAACCCTCTGTAAAGAAAGCTAGATAATCCTGGTAATTAAAGCTATTCGGTAAGACAAAAGACTTAGCCGCTAGAAAGCTATAGTAATCTATAGAGTACCCGAAGCCACGCTCCGCTATAAGATAAACGGACGAGTACTAAAGCTCGAGTCACGTTATATAGCTTATCGATTAATAGTTACTAAAGAGCAGGCAGTTATTCGATATATATTAGACCTAGATACGCGAGGATTCGCGCCCCGACACGCTAGTATTAAAGATATAGCTAATTTATTACTCGCGGGACGCGACGGAGGACGTGTCGGTAAGCACTAGGCCGAGAAGTTCGTTAAGCGATAATTAGAACTTAAGACGCGTTTTAATCGCGTATATAACTTTTAGAGAGCCCTCTACGAAGATCTAGAGCTTATTCGCGCGTAGTTTAAGCTTATATATAATACAAGGGCGAAGTATAGTATCTACGACTACGACCTCTATAACTTCGATAAGACCGGCTTTATAATAGGCGTTATCTACGTATCTATAATAATAATACGCGCCGATCGATATAGAAGAGGTAAGGTAGTTTAGCCTAGTAATCGGGAATAGGCGATAGTAATTAAGTATATTAATAGCGAAAGGTAATGCCTCCCGCTATTTCTTATTATTTAAGGCGCGCACTACCTCGCTAATTAGTATATAGAGGGCGGCCTCTTACTCGACTAGGCTATTAAACTAACTTCTAAGAGGTAGATAGATAATAAGACCGGCCTCGAATAGATTAAATATTTCGATAAGTATATAAAGTCTTATATAAAGGGTATATATCGGATAATTATACTCGATAGGCATAAGAGCCACTAGTCGGCCTAGTTCGAAGCCTTCCATAAAGAGAATAATATTATCACTATTAGCCTGCTTACTCACTCGTCTTATCTCACCTAGCCACTCGATATTAGGTATTTTAGTGCCTTAAAGAAAGCGTACGGTCGGGAAATCGAGTACTTTATTAGAGCGTATATTAACTATATTACTAAGGTCGAGTTCTTCCTCGCTTTTAAAGCCGCCTACTTTACCGCTATAATAAAGAGTAATAATAAAGGAGGTTTTAGAGGTATAAGCCTAGTACCTTTCGACCCTAAAGCTATAATATCTAAGCTAGATATTAAGTTACGGACGCTAATACTAACTAATCCCCCTTCCGTAGCTGCCGATCCTTGGTGCTCCTAGACGCCACAGAACCTAATAGAGGTAGTCTCGTAATCCGAATATATTAAAAATCGGATTACCCGTTACTAGGGAAGCTCGCTAATACCGATTCTTATTACTATCGACTAGCTTACGAAAGGGATATAGGTATTAGCGTACTTAGTTACCCTTATAACGGCTAAGATATATATATTATAAAAGGTAAATAAGGCACTTAGTAAGCGCCGGAGGGCTAAGAAAATATATATATATCTTAGAGGATCACTTATTATAGGAGATATATATAATATACTAGCCTAGAAGGAGGTATAGGAATAGGTAGAGCATAAAACGCGTAAGAATAATAGTCGGCGGACTAGGATAGAGAGGGCTCCACGGCGTTATAGTAAGTATAGAAAGCCTAGGTATAATACGCGTACGTGCTAGGAAGATACAGAAGTATCTGATATATATAAGTCTGAATAGTTTCGGTGTTTTATAGTTATTATAGTAGTATAATTGATATTCTTTATCTTATAGTCATGGAAAAGTGCGTCGCTTAGGGGTATGCGTCGCTCAGTAGTAGACCACGTTATACTATTAATATATATTTTCTATAGCTCGCTCCTAAGGCCGTCCCTACCGCCCTAGAGTTTATAGCCGCCGCCGCTACTATAAAGGCCGCGGGCGCTACCTTAGGCGATAGGTCCGCTATAAGTCTACCGTATCCTTATATAATAAATATATACTAACTAGCTAAGAAACGCGTAAATAGTTTACTGTAGGCGAGCGCGTTACGCGCGCCTTATAATAATACCCCTAGGCCGCCCCTAACGCTAACTACCGCCTTATTAGTATTAAGGCTATACTACGCTCTATTTACGAGTACTTTATAAGTTTATATCCTTACGGTCCCCTTACGAGTTACTAGCTAACCCGTTAATAACTCCCTATCGTCGAGGGTTATAATCCCCTTAATAAAGAGCCCGAGTCCGAGGTAAAGGGCGCGGCCCCTAGGGCCTAGATATAGTATAGCTATAGTTTAAGTACGGGGGACCCTTCGGGGCTAATTTTTATTCTTTAATTCTTTAAGAAAAAGTTTAGCGTATAGTCTCCCTATAGTAGCCCGGCGGATTAGCTACGGCTATATAGCGTTAAATAAAGTTCCTCCCCCCCCCCCGCCTATAAGTCGAGTAAAAATATCGTAAAATTAGCTATATTTAGAGCGGAAAGTTTACGTAGCTATTATAATCTCGCTACGCTTTAGTTAGGACTGTCGTAAAATTCTATAGATCCGTGAATTTTTTTAAATTTATCGAGCGCGGCCGTATCCGTAATATTCGATAGCGGTTCCTAGGTTAGCTTAGAATAGCCTTTTTACTTTATAAGGCACTCCCTCCGTAACCCGCGGCCTCGTTACTTACTTCGTGCGTATAGGTGTTGTGGGCTAAGCCCTGTTGGAACAACTTGGTAGCTCAGATTAAGTCTATCTAACGATAAGGTAGGAAAAGAGAAAGAGGAGGGAATTTACGGTCCCCCTTTCTTATAAAGACCCTGCGAGGTCTGTGCGTCCTCGTGGGCACGCGTCACGTGCCTAGGTAAACT